ACAAATCGGCCTTTGTAAGAGGTGGCAGTCTATGACAGTGCCGTGTTTAAAGTCACTGAGCTCATCAGTACGACCTATTCTACTGCCAGTGTTCGTCTACTGAGACTGCATATCAAGGCTATGTGCTTAATTTGATCCACCTATTAGCAATGCGTGTGGCTGAAACACCTGAACTGCGGGTTTGTCAGAATTTGGCACAACACCTGTCTAAAGTGTCTGACCACAGCATTCACACATGGTGCAATTTTGTTAATTTTCATAATTCACAGCAAGACGTTCTGTGTCCTAAACCACATCAACAACCTTAATGAAGACTTCAATGCAGTTTGAGTGGTTTTACAGAAGATTGGAGTTGTATTTACAGAAAATATTTGGGTGACTGTTGACTTCTAGTGTTAAATAGCAACATTAGCCTTGTAGCTCCAGGACTAAACTATGACTCAACTATGAAGTACAATATGTACTTCAATGTACAATGTCCTGTGACCCAGAAGGAGAAGCAGCTTAGATAATGTGTGTGTGTGTGTAACTTTAGAAGAGGATAAACTTTTTCCTTGTCTTTAATATGTGTTAATGTAATGAGATTCTATTCTAAGTCATAAAACTGTAAAGTGAGAAAGAAAGAGAGAGAGAGAGAGAGAAACAGAAAGAGAGAGATGCTGAGTTGTCCTCTCAGCAGGATCGATACAGCTGCTGGAGTTTCTCTCTCAGAGTCAGATTTCAATCTGTGACCTCTATCAGCAGCTATTACTGCAACACCCACACACACACACACACACACACACACAGAGGAGATTTCTTATGTATAAAGTTTCAGTCCAGCTTTTTGAACCGTGTTTGAACCACCAACAGAGATAAGAACTCTGTTACTTTGTGCTCACACCATATGTGTGTGTGTGTGTGTGTGTGTGTGTGTGTGTGTGTGTGTGTGTGTGTGTGTGTGAGAACTCCTAACAGCTCCTATCAGTCAGTCATTTTGAAGCCAGGAGGAGTTATTTTAGCCAAGATGTTTTTCTTTCAACTGTGTTCAAGCTTCAAGCAAAAGCAGCTGTGAATGAGAATTAACTCTTCTCTTCTTCTCTCGTTTCCATTTTCATTGTTTCTCCACTTAATCTGCCTTTCACTCTCTCTCTTCTCCCTTGTTCTTTTTGATGTTTTGCTGAATCGCCCTCTCTTTCTATCTTTTCATTAAGTGCTTCACTCTTTATTGGCATTTCACCCACCTCTCTCTCATTATGTCTATCTGTCTCTTGCATCTACATCTCTTTTTTCCTCACTCTGTCTCTGTATCTCTCTCTTTGCATCTTTGCTTTCTCTATGTCTCTTTCTATGCCTCTCTCTCTTTTTCTTGTTATCTCTATCAGTTTCTACGTCTCTATGCCCCTCTTTCACTCTATCTCTCTCTTTCTGTCTCTTTGTCGGCATGTCTCTCTCTTATGTCTATCTCTCTCTCTATCCCTCTAAGCAGACAGTGGGGTTGATCTGTGTGTGAGTGTGTGTGTGTGTGTGTGTGTGTTAAATGCGTGCTGCAGTGTAATTACTGCAGCTAATCAGAACACTTAACAGCAGCGCTTCTGTTCATTTACTCCTTCACCCACTCCCCCATCCTCCATTCCTTCTTCAGTGCACTCTCTTATCACATTTACACACACACACACACACACACACACACACACACAAACAGTCCCTCTCAGTCAGTGTGTGTGTGAGACAGCCTAGGCAGTGAATGCATTCTGCCAGATAAAGAACGCATTATAAGGCCTATGGCACTCACATCAGATAGGCACTCAAACCCCTCCCTGTAAAAGAAGCAGCAATAAAGCCGTGAATATAAAGCCTCCTCATTAAAGGGGGGCGCCCAGCCGAAGGTTAACAAGCTCTTAAAACGTTGGCAACAAACCCTGAAAACGTCGCCTTGAGAACGAAAAAGAAGGAGAAAAAGAAAAATAATTAAAAAACGTTTCTCCTCTCCTCGCCCTCCAAGCGACTCTTCGTCTGGGCCGGCCTGGCTTTGCCTTTTAAAAGCTCAGGAGCTGTTCTACTCTGCCTTTACCTAGCTTTTAAACGCAGACAGCTCAAATCAACAAGCACATTTTTATTTTGTGGGAACATCTGGCTGGACCCCAAGAGAAAAAAATCTCTCATTGGGCTGTGAAACCTTGACTAGAACCTCTCCACTGAACTTCTGAAATACAAACCTGTTTTGCTAATAAATAAATTTATGTTTGCAGCAATGTGTTAAAGGGTCTGTAAAATTGCAAATGTCCTTGCTTTATTCAGATAAAAGTGACTGTATTGTGCAAACATTTACATAATACATAAAAAATTCATCGAGTTCATCGATGTTGTGATCTTATAAACGTGAAATACGTAATGATAGTATTTATTATCAGTCTTTTTTTGTGGAACCGTACCTGATGGAGAAGAGCATCCACTATCCTCTTATCTGCTGTTAGCCCCACTGCGCTCTCGCTACTGCTACTGCCGGAGAAATGCTTTACAAATTTCAGACGAGCTTAATAAGCAAGCAGAAAGATCCGCTGTGACCTTCCCGCCAACCCCGCACGTCCCTCTCATCATCCACGGTGTGATTATGACTGATGTACTATTGTACTTTATTTAATCTAGGGCACATTTACCCACTTCTTAAACTCTGGAGCTATTCTGAATGCAGCTACAAACTGTAATATTACTAGAGAGAGAGAGAGAGAGAGAGAGAGATCACAAGGAAGAGCAAAGGCAGTGCAGGAAATGTGTGTAGGCATATTCCTTCAGGTAAAAGAATTACTCATTGAAAACAAACCTAAGCCCGATGTTGTACATGACTAATCAGCCTGAACCTGGTCTGAAACTTGATATTTTGTCAGACCCTGTTAGGCCTGGTTTGAGCAGCAAGTCTCTAATTGTACTGTGTCAAAATGCCACAATCCCAGTCCCCTGACCTCAGGGATGAAACATGGGCAGGTTACAGTTCAAATATAAAATAAAAGCAAAATATTTCATTTGCATGGCTGTTTTTTTAGCCTTCGTAACTCAGAAACAAGTTTACTTACAGACTGATACACATCACAACAATCAGCAGCTAGAGTTCTCTGTAGCTAGAGCTGCAATAAAAGCATCAGCAAGTAATCTGGTTCGTAAGACGACCTATTAACTCCAAATCCTGTTATTATATCCCTGTAATTATTCCTTACACACATTACATACTGTGTGTGTTCTGGTCCGGCATTTCTCCTCATGCCTCCAGAGCATTCTGGCTCCTCAAAGTGGAACTTTTCTATCTCCAAACTTCTCTATTTACACCTGACAGCATCTTCTTTATATATCAAATGACATCTGAGTAGCCTAGGGTCTCTGAAAATGCCAACATATGGCATGTGTGACTGTCTCATGTAAATACTTTGTAATTATAATTGACCAAAATTAACTTAGGGTTCATTGGGTCATAAGATAGATGGTTAAAAGAATCACTGAGGGGAGGAGGCAATAATGAGAAAAAAAAAAGGTGAAGAGAGAAAGAGAGAGTAAAAGAGAAAAGGGGTGGGAAGAGTAAGAAAGAGAGGGAGAAATGGCAAGAGAGAGACAACAGAAAGAGGGAAAGAAAGACAGGAGAGAGAGGGGTAAACAGGGTAGGCGGAGGGGAATCGCAGGTAACAGGAACAGGCAGAGTGAGAGAGATAAAGAGAGACAGGAAGTGGCTTGCTGACAGATCGGTGGCTCTTGGGTCGATATGCCTTGACTTAAGATGGTCGGCATGTTGAGCAGTTTTCTAGAGATAAGGGCACTGTGTGTGTGTGTGTGTGTGTGTGTGTGTGTGTGTGTGTGTGTGTGTGTGTTAGGCGGCACAGACACCAGAAAAACAGACTTTAGCTTCTGGCAGCAGAAAGCCATTTATCACCTCTCACCTGTGAGGAGATTTACTGTATGCTCTGAAGGCACAGTGATGTGTGCAGTCAGCGATTATCGTGGCATCTTCTGAGGTCATGGGGTCTTGGTGAAGGCATTTTGAGGCATTGAGACTTTGAGCCTTCGCAGCAAAGTCATCACCATCATAACCAAACATAATGAGATCCAGAACATTTCAAAACTTTCACATGAGAAACACCGGTTTTGGTTTTAAACAAAATAGCTGTGTGTGTGTGTGGGTGTGTGTATCTCTAATGTTGCCAGGTTTGTGGGTAAACATGAACATTTTTATGCTGCAGGGACATTTGGCTGGACTTCAAGAGAAAAAAATATATTTTTAAATAGAAGAAATGCAGCTATTGTTTAAGACAAAATAAGTAAAAGAGCCAAAGGGTTGCCTATGGGGTTCCTGAGGTTGAGGTTACGGTTGACATTAGCAACAATTTTTTTTGTATTCAGTCATGCAGAAGGAAATGGAAACACTCCACAAAGCCAGGAATCTGTGTGCATGTGTGGAGAGGATGTACGGTGGTCGCCCCTGCCTGAATTATTGATCAAAATCAATAAAGATAGGAAAAGGTTAAATCAGTGACAAAAAAAAAATGGACAATAAGTGATAGATCCAGCAATGCCAAACATACACTTATGTAAAAAAATAAATAAAAAATGCACAATGAGTATAGAATTAATTCACAACTGAACTTTCTTTTTTGGTTAAAAGTGTTTGATGTAGTATGTAAACACTATCAAATTAAAAACCCCCAACCCATGCAGTCCATAAATGGAAATCAAGCTGCAAAAATAGCTAAAGTTTTTGTGATGTCACAAATATCAACACATTTACATACATCCACCTACAGCGGTTTAGTCCTGCCTACTCACATAGAAGTTAAAGGCACATTCATAAAAACAGGCTGCTTAATTGTAAGGGATAAAGAAAGGTAATGTAAAAATGGAAAAAAAAAACAGAATTGTAATATACAATAAGTGGACTTCAGTTCAAAATACAATACTAAAAATAGTAGGATATTTAGGAAATTCAATACTTTCTCTAAATGAATCTAAACCATTATGCCTTTCTTTCTCCCTCCCAGATCCATCAGCCCCCACTACGACTCCCAGCCCCACGCTGGACCCCTCATCCCTCCCTTGGGACGAGGACGGTAGCCTCCGGAGCCCTGGGCCAGACGAGGAGACGACCACAGCCAAGCCCAGCTCACCCCGCTTCATTGGCACTGGTTTTGATCTAAACCTCATCCCCATCTACTGCTCCATACTGGCAGCTGTACTGGTGGGCCTGCTGGCCTACATCGTCTTTAAGAGGTGAAGAAAAGAGGGAGAAGGAGAGAGAAAGAGGAAGTGAGAGAAAGAGATGGGAAAGGAAAGAGCGACAATTCTAAAATGCTGTATTGCTCCATAATGCTTGTAACTAGAATAATGTATTTCGACAGACTGCAGTACAATACAGGACGTGTTGGGGCAATAAGGCATCTTCTGTTTTTGTGCACCATAAAAAAAAATCACACCAGCAGAAAGCCAGAGGAACTATAGGAAGGGGAAAGAAAAAGAAAAATTATTAAAAAAAAAAACAGGTGTTTCAAAATTGTTCAAAAATTATTAAGAGACAGAGAGAAAATGGGACTCCCAACAACCATGTAAGACCTTGTAGACACCAAAACTGTAATCAGACAAACAATACTTAGAACTTTCATCTATGAGAAACGGGAAAATCATGCACCACTCTTGCTCAGGATCCAAAATCGAAAGGTGTTTCTGTCCAGACTGGGGTTCAGTGCCCACCAATAAGAGCCCTTGGGCAAGACTCCTAATGCTACCTTTGCCTACCTGAGTAAAATGATCTAATTGTAAGTTGTTCTGGATAAGAGCGTCTGCCAAATGCCACAAGTGAAAGTATGTGTAGCTGTCAAGAAGCGCTTACTAAGAAAAGGAAATACACGAAAAATAAAAAAAAAAAGTTGTTTTCAGAACAAGGGACTTTCCACCCCAGACTCCAGATCTCAACATCACCGAATGTGTTTGGGATTACTTTGATTATAAGAAGCAGAAAATGCAACCAACTTCTAAGACTGAACTTTGGAAATGTAAAATAGACACCATAATACTTAAACGTTCTAGGTAGTGTTGTACCTGTAGTGCTTTTTGAACCAAAGACGGCACAATACTTAGATTGGTCAGTTAACCAAATAACAGGTATTAGGGTTAATCGACCATAGTAATCATCATTAGTTCCAGCACTAAAACACAGATACATACACTCTTCACTCACATTCAGTCTTTCTTCTTTTTCTCTTGTGTGCATGTGTATATGTCTCAGGTGGAACAGCTGCAAACAGAATAAGCAGGCAGCCAACAACCGCGCGGCTACGGCCAATCAGACGCCATCTCCGGAAGGAGAGAAGCTCCATAGTGACAGTGGCATCTCAGTGGACAGTCAGAGCCTGCAAGAGCAGCAACAGCAACAGCAGCAGCAGCAACAACAGCAGCAGCAGCAGCAGCAGGCTCACACACAGCTGCACGTGCCCGAGCAGATCGGTAAGACTCACAGGAGTTCGGCCTCAGGCGCCAGTCTTTTGTTCCGTCTCCATCATAGTGACATTATTACAAATGTTCTCCAAGTTTAAGCCTTAAGGCTGCTGGAGACTGCACCGTGCATAAACAACAGAAAAATGTGAAATATTCCGACGACATGGATATGATGTGGCTTTTTAAAATCTGACAGACCTGTAGAATATCATCAACTGACAGAAAGACATCTCAAAAGAAGTCTTCCCAAATAGGGCAAACTGTGATATTGAGCATTTTTGAAAAATGAAAGAAGCACAGGGTGTTTCACTGCTTCATTCATGAGCTTTCTAAGCACGTTTATAGATAGCTGTAAGTCCTTAACCCAGTCTGAGCTGATTTTGGAGATGCTAACAGTCCATGTGATGAAGCAGAAAACAAACTAATCCTTTTAACGTTTGTCAAAAAGGTCAAAAACAGCCAGTCAGTTATCTTAGGTGCTACCATGCCAACACCAGAGACTCCTGTTGGCTGTGAAAGTCAAACAGGGAAATGAAATAATGTTGCATTTTCGGCATCAGAAAGATTACATTTGTTGTGCAAGTTATTGTCCATAATTCCTGAAATTAATTTACTGATATCTGAAAAAACTTGCATAAATATATCATGCTTCACTCAAGCCCTATTCAAATTGGATTAGTTCATCAAGAGGATGTCTGATAAAACTCTGCATCTGGATGGCAATGAAATAACCACAGGACTGTAGCTGCCACTGTGATTGCCCCTTTAATGAGTCTGCGGGATCTCACTTTTCTCATTGACTTTATTTTCCTTCTCATTGATAATGCTCTCCAGGCAGGAATCGAAGTTTTACCATCCAGACCAAGTAAATGGTTGAGTGATTCTTCAATATCTCCCCTTTTTCATTTTGTGATTCAGAAAGTATTTAATATCTGGGGAAAGGTTTCTGATATGCGCACTAGGAATCCAACGGCAAGTAGCATCGTCAAAAACCTTTTTTCCAACAGTGACATCTGTCTGGAAAATCTCAGAGACGTGTATACAGATGGGACTAAAATGATCAGAGCACCACAGAGCTCAGCAGGTAATTCGGCCTGTAATGTTCTCAGGGGAGGAGGGAGAAAAACACTGACGCGACTGATCCGGACGGCAGTGGCAAAGTAGATTTATTAATCACTGTTTTCTGTTTTATTTGGATTTCACCTACTGCCAAAAAATATACACAATATTTCCTTTACTATAAGTATAGCTGATAAAACTCCATGCTTCAATTAATCACCCATTTCCCATATGTCATACTTTTATCTATAAAAATGGACAAAAGTACAAACAATATTCACAAAACTACATTTTTTAGCTGTGCAATGACATTAGCAAGTCTATTTCAGATTCAGCGGTATGGTTGGCAGGAGGAACATAATAATTTGAAAACGTTACTCCCAAACCTTCACTATAGGTTTAAAAGGACAGTAAACAATTAAGTCATTACCACATCTGATGTACGCATGCATACTCACACTCTATAGAGGTTGTTGCAGTAGTATGCAGAGTGACATTTTCCACTTTAAAGACTAGAAACCGCATTTTTTGAACCACCATTCTTTGATGGGGATTCCAGAAGGAAGACAGATAGCTACTGCTACTGCTATGAAGCTGATCGTCTTATTCCAGCCGTACTGTAGTAACTGTCTTTAAATCATCATTACAATGGAGAGAATGGATTACTGAAATGTCTGTACAAGACAACAAGCTAAAAGCCAAAGTCGGGTGCAACTTAGTTCTATGTAGGTTTCAAGCAACTAATGTTGCATATAAGTTTCACCGTGTAAAGCCAGACTTAGAGAGCTGACTGAGAAGAATGTGGCTTTACCTTTTGGTAATCACTCCTATCATTACCCTCCTGTTCTCTGTCTCCCTGCATTTTTCACTCTTCTCTTCATATTTCATATTATATCTCTTCTTCTCCTTTGGAATCTTCATTGAAGCCATCTGCATGGCCTGCTCTCTCTTTCATTCTCATCCATTTCTCTTCATTCACTGCCATGAGAGGCTGCATGTGTACATAGCTGTCTCGGTCAGTCACCCGGGGGTAAAGGAGACCACAAATGTCAGCAACACTCACACATGCATGTAGGTGAGCACCATGTGAGAGCCCAAGTGCTCCACACTAATAGAAGAGTACTTAGCTGACTCAGAGCAGGATGATAATATTTAAAGAGCAAATGCAACAGTGATGTGATGTGGCCTTGCAGCGCACCCACACAATAGGCAGACACACAAAAGCACGTAAAGGAAAGAGATAGAGAGAGTCAGAGCGAGTGTGTTGATACACCTATCAGAGCAGAGAGAGACATTTCAAGCATCACTTGCTGGTCCATATAAACTCTGATTCTACAGCTGCAAGCTCATTATATGGAGCCGCAGGGATGGAATGGTTGCTGGTTTTAATGATATACCAATGTATAAAACCCAAACATAATCATACTCATGGAGCGTACTCGACTGTGCGACAGTGTACTTAGACTCGTCAGCGAATTCAAATTATATGTTTTGTTGATTTTCTAAGCGAAAATAAGTTACACATCCTCCACAAAGAACATACTTAAAAATAACACTTTTCTGCAAATTGCAAAAAATAAACTTAAAATATAAAACAGCCCCTTTTCTTAGGCCAAGTCTTTTTCCAACAGCTAAAAAGAGGTTGTTATGGAACAAGACATATTACTGATTAAGTAAAATGACAGTAAGAGCTTACTGATACAGACTGTGCTCTGAATGAGCTCATGTGGTCACTCTTAAAACTATCACAATGCACAGACAATAAAAGAAGCCAGACATACACGTGCCTTTACCCCATCTGGCAGCAAGTTAAAGGGGCCATCGCCAAATTCTCAGAATGGATTGCGAGGTCAAGCATTGAGTAAAATGTATCACTGCACTGGAACTTCTCAGTATGTCCAGCATCTATTAGCATAGACAGTGAAGTGTTTTTGGTGCTATTCTTCTCTTTTCGATGCACCTTTTTTCTGAAATAAACTGATCAACCTCAAAAGTCAGAGGTGTGACTAATTACAAAGCAGTACAAGAGTTTACCCAACAGAGGGGAATGAAATTAAACACAGAAAATGGAATTAGTAACTAAATATTAATGACTAAACTAAACTAATTGAGAAAAAAAAGTAAATTCCTTACAAATATGACTTTTATGATTTCTAATTTAAAATTACACAATAAAGTACGGATTCAACTAAATTTATCTTGAGGACATACCAAACATTTATTACCCACTTGTGTTTTAAATATAAATGGGATGTGACCTTGTTTCCTTAATCTTTACAAATGTACTATTAGCTGTCAAATAAACGACAATGTTGGTCATCAGTTATTTATGTTGTCATGGCTAAGCCACTGTCTGAAATGTCCACACAGTCCTGATCAAGCAGAGAAGTTCCCAGCTTTTTGAATCTATTATCTATTGAATTAGTCACAAAAGTTTAGAAATTAGAAAATGAATTGAATTATAATGTCTAAAAATGCTTCAACATTCTTAGGATATGAGAAATATTATATATATTGCCTATGAATATATTTTGATGACACTTTGAGTGGTCATTTTAGATGAAACAAACACTAAATAGACTCTCAGTGACATGACAAAAAACATATGAGGGTTAGGTTTTGGGTTGAGGTTAAGGTTAGTTTTAGGATTAGGGCCAGGGTTAGGATTAGGCTCTGGGTTGAGGTTAAGGTTAGGGTTAGGGCCAGGGTGAGGGTTAGGATTAGGTTCTGGGTTGAGGTTAAGTTTAGGGTTAGGATTAGGGCCAGGGTTGGGTCAGGTGTTGGGTGAGGTTGGATAAGGTTAGGTTTTGTGTAATAGAAGTAACTTATTAACAATACATCTACTTAATGTAAATAATGTAGCAACAGAACATCTACAAGATATTTACTTCAGTGTGTTCAGATGCGTCACTACTGCTACGTCAATGATACAATGTTGATGTGTTACTGATAATCTGTTAAGGGTTTATTAATCATCTACAAAAGACCACTTTTTACCTGAAATTGTTTTTAGTCTTTTAATTCAATTCAATAATTTCCATCTGTATTACTGCTTTTAGAACCATTCAATCACAACAATACCCTCCAGTCACGAAACACACTCAACAATGCCCAGCGCGCAGAAATAAATCACAGAACACACTCTAACCTTTCAGCTTTCATACTTTTCCTTTGTGCTGGTGTTTGTGTGTGTGTGTGTGTGTGTGTGTGTGTGTGTGTGTGTGTGTGTGTATAAAGTGCTCGTCTATATGGAGCACTCTGGATAAAAGCACCTGATTAATGAATAAATAAAAGACAGCAGATACACATTTACTTAATGTAAACGTTTGCCTGGGTCCGTGGGGGGCTGGACAGACAGAAACTCATTAAAGTCCACAAAACATCAGCACACACAGATGCAGACAGTGCAGACTTTCCTTCTTTTAGCCTCACTCTTCTCCTTATCTGCACAAAGGCATTCTTCATCTAACCTTGAGGGTGCGAAAGACATCAACCGCACAGACAGAGTGGTGTTTGTAAGACAGATAGGCAGCAAAGGGAGTGATTGTATATCATGTTGAAACATTCTGCAGTACAATATTTACAACAACCGACAGAACCCAACCTTAGAATACCAGTCAGTGAACAGCTTTCTTTAGTCTCAGGGAATGGAAAGTGCATTATGGAGCGAAGACTTCTCACATTTCCAACGAGACACAGCAGTGCGTTACGGCAGCTTGTTGGAGGACTGACCTCTCCACATTCTGCCTACAAACGCCTGCTTTAGTAGCAGCTGTTGTAAGATTGTTCAGGCTCTACAGAACACAAGTAAAAACCCCATCCAGCCAAATGAGAACTGCAGCACAGTTTAGAGTCACTACATAATATTGAGTTTCCAGTTTAACTGTATATAATCCCAGGCTTATTACAAGGCTTATTATTCAGTGACTACAGGGACTTCAATGCAAACT